CCACGATTGCTTTCCAAGGGCATTTGGCTTGGGACAGGCAATAAAGTAATGTTAACAAAACTGCTGTACACGTCGATCTGTTGATATTTCTGATTTTCCTTTTATGTGAGAACGAAGGTGTCGGGGAAAGTGGCACACTACCAAGCATGCATGATCACGGGTCGAATTCCGGATTGATATTCGTTCACGCTAACCAAGCTTTCCATCCCTCCGGAGTCGATGAACAGGTATCAGACTCGTCTGGGAGGATAAAAGCGCCGGCTTGTACATCGGCTGGCTATTGTTTGTCATTGTGTGGGCCAAACACGCAATCGCCACTACGATCCGCATTGGAAGTCGAATGTGGGGCGCATATCATAAGTGGGATCAATTACTCGGGAGCAGAATCACTATGAAACTGTCTGTGAGTAAGGGAGACTTCTGATGAATAGACGACGATGAATCACGGGAATATGGAAGCTTTCTCAGGAAACGGAATCATACTTATGGCGATGGGCAAACAGCCGGGCTGTCTCGTTTTAGAGGAATGGCCATATAAAAATTGTTGAAATGAACTTTTACATTTCAAAGGAAGGCACTGAAGGCTTCGTCTTCTGACCATCACGTAGCCCATCATGTAGCTTTAACTTGGCTTTGAGCTGCTATGTTTTCTTGGCACTTCTGCTACAGATAGTTCCTATGGATCCTGGGTTATCGGCAAAGCAAATGACTTCGACAATATGTATGAGGTAAGGCTACAACAAACTAAAGCGTGATAAGTTAGATCAACAATAACAAAAAACATAAAATAATAAACAACAATACTATTGCAAGTAAGAGCAGCTAGGGTTCTCACTCGGTAGTATAGTGGATAAGTTCAGTGTTCGACGGGGATACACGTGGGGTCTGTCTATTGAGGACACAGTGATAAGTCGGTCATTTGCTCGTAAATCAGCATTCCCTTGATCATGACTTTCTAGTCCACATGGTCTTCTGTGACTCCGTGGGCGGGCGAGTTCTGTTCTAGACTCCCATGGTACCTCTCATCTTTGAACTTGTGATCTTTTCGTGCAAAACAGGTGGTTACGGTGGTTTCTCCATGAGGACCCATCTACACTTATTAAAATAATGGGGCAGAAACCTTGTAAGATTCATGTTCGGAAACAAAATTTTCGTCTTTCACAGTGACTCCACATAGATTGGTTACGGTAGAAGCCCAAAAAAAGTGCTGTGAGTCAGAGTGCGACGTTCTTTGCCAGCACTCTGGTTTTGTGAGTGAACGAGGTTTCAATGGGAACTGGTAGGTGTAATTACAAGATTATGTGGCAATTTTCGACAGCACTATGTTCATGTTAAGTAGTGCGAAGGTTAGGAACAAATGCTGGGAAGGCGTCATTCATTCTGGTCTTTTCCCACTCCATTGATAAATCCGGTTTAAAAGGATATTAGCGAAGAGAACGAAGTCCGTGAATGTCATCCTGAAGGTGGACTCTTTTGCCTTTCTGCAGTTTTGCCGAAGTCCCTCTAGCCGGAAGGGCTACCTGCGATACCTATTTTTTGGCCAGAGCCACGTCACTAGACGTATTCGCTCTTCGGTCGACCTGCTTCGCAGCGCTTAGCCCTTTGCACTAGCTGTTCAATAATATCGTTCACAAAAGAAATCTAGACAATCTAGTTTTTCACAAAACCAATTTTTTCTGAGACTCACTATACGAGGAGGTGTGGAATTTGTCACTACGATGTTTGTGCTCGTCATCGTACTCACTCAGGACACCCGTTCACAGTGATCTCTGTGCACTGCAGTTATAGAAGGGGGGGGGGGGGGGG